TATCTTCATCAAAATTATTATCACTATCATAATCTTTATCATTATCATTACCATTATCTTTATCATTATCATACTCTTTATTATTATCATTATCATTATTATTATCTTTATCATTATCATTATCATATTATTATTATTACCTCCGCCAAGGAAGTTATGTTTTTGTAGCGTCGATTAGTTAGTTTGTTCGTTCGTTTGTTCATTGGTTAGCAGGATAACTGTTATTACTGTTATTATGATCTTGATTGTTATTGTTATTTCTATTTTTATTTTCATTATCATCATTATTATTGCTATTATTATAAGAAGTATTCTTGTTATTCTTCTTCTTATTATTATTTTTGTTTTCTAATTATTAATATTTTTCCTTATTGTTACTATTATTATTACTATTATCATTATTGTTATAGTAATAATGAAGATGATAATAATTATGATAATAATAATGATAATGATACTACTACTACTACTACTACTGATATTATTATTATTATTATCATTATTGTCATTATTGTCGTTATCATCTACAATGTTATTATTATTAATTTTAGATATTATCATCATTATTGCTATTATTATTACTATCACTATTATCATTGCTTTTATTATTCATATTGTTATTATCATCAGCATTGTTATTATTACTTTTATTACTATTATTATTATCATTATTATTATCCTTACTATTATTACTATTATTCATTTTATAATTATTATTTTTATAATTTTTATCATTATTACTTTTATCATTTATATCATTATTACTTTTATCGTTTTTATCATTATTACTTTAAGCATTTTTATTATTATTACTTTTATCATTTTCATAATTATCACTATCGTTATGGATATAACTATTATTATTTCTACCATTATGGTTCCTATCAGCATAAGCATTATTATCATTGTTAGCGTTATTGTCACTGCTATTACTAAGATAGTAATAATGATGATAATAATAGTAATAGTGATGATAATGATAATAACAATAATAAGCGTGATAATAATAATAACAACAATAATAGTATTAAAGATAACAATAGCACTATTTCTTTGACCTTTGTTATTATCTTTATCATTGATATTATCAGTCATCATCATTCATCCATCGTCATCATCATTATTATCCTAATTATCATCATCATTACCATCATTATTATCCTCCTCCTTCTCCTCGTCCTTCTTCTTCTCCTCCTCCTCCTCCTCCTCCTCATCATCATCATCATCATTATTGTTATCATTCTTATTATTATTATTATAATTGCTGTTAGTATCCTCCTCCTCATCATCATTGTCATTATAATCATTATTTTTAATATTATTGTCATCAATATCCCAATCATCGTTATCATCCTCATCATCATAATTATCATTACATTCGCCATCATTGTTATTATTATTGTTATTACCATTATTGTTATTATCATCATTATCTTTATCATCATCATCATCATTATTATTATTATTATTATTATTATTATTATTATTATTATTATTATTATTATTATTATTATTATTATTACATTATTATATATTATTATTATATTATTATTTATTTATTTATTATATTATATATTATCATTATTATTGTTATTATTATATTATTATTTATTATTATTATTATTATTATTATTATTATTATTATTATTATTATTATTATTATTATTATTATTATTATTATTATTATTATTATTATTATCATTATTATTACTGGTATTAGTATTGTTATTACTTGTTTTGTGTTTATAATTTTTACTGCTATCATCATTAATACTGTTTTCATCGTTGTTATTATAATTACTATTATTGTTCTAAGTATTGTTTTAATTATAATAATCTTTATTATGATTGTTACTATTGACATATTCTTTTCTGATTATTGTAATCATTATTATTTTCACGGTTAATGCTGTTATTTTTATCGGTATAATTGCTATCATTAATATTATTGATGTCATTATTACTGTTATGATTATCATTATCATTACTAAAAGTATTTTTGTTATTGTTATCATTATCACTGTTGTTATTATTGATCTTATTGTTATTAGTAGTATTATGATTATCAATATCATTATCATTATTATATATTATTATTGTTATTATTTTTGTTATTACTATTATCATCTTTATCATCATCATCATAATCATCCTCATTAAAATTATCACCCTTATTTTATTATCATAGTTGTTATTATCATAATATTTTTATTATTGTTAGTATTTGAACAATTATTGTCACTCATCTCCTTTTTCTTTATTCCTTTTTTGTTATTATTCTTATTATTGGTATTATTTCTATCCTCCTCATCATTATAATTTGCACTATTATCATTACTGTCCTTAGCGTGATATTATTATTATTATTATTATTATTAGTAGTAGTAGTAGTAGTAGTAGTATCATTATCATTGTTGTTGTTATTATTATTATTGTTGTTATTATTATTATCATTATCCTTATTATTAAAATCATCATCATCATCATAATGATCATCATC